GTGTGTGTGTGTGTGTGTGTGTGAGAGAGAGAGAGAGAGAGAGAGGAGAGACAGAGATCCAGGCATCATTAATGGAAGGAAGGTCTGCAAGATGTCTTAGCCTAGAATTTGTCACATTCTGTGCCTGCATTCTTTCCTCTGGGTGAACACACAGGACAATTGTCATGAGTTCACTAATAAGATGGCTTTCAGTTCTAGAGGTGCAGGCCCACCTTGACTTCTGTGGGTGAACTCACTGGGCTGGTTTCTGAGATACAACATGGTTCCAAGCCAGAATACTAAAGAAGCCAGCCCAGTAACTGTCCACAGAAGACAACTCGCATTGCTGTCCTGTCTGTTTCACTTTGAAAACAGAGTTCCCAGGCTCCTCAGACAGATCCTGTGGCCAAATTTGTGATGGAAGATTTTGGGAGGTAAACGCATTTCTGCATTTGTGACAGCATTCTAGAAAATGCTGCAATCTCTCTGCAGGTATGTACCTGTGTGCTTCCCAATCTATTGTGTGAATCTTTATAATTGTCTTTCTTATCTTTGGGCTCATTTACTTCAGAATATACATATGCTCAGATTTCTTCAATCTTGAAATAAAATCAAAATGAAAATAAAATTACAAATTTGCCCTTCAAGCCAATATTATTTTCTAGCTACCTCTCTTCTTGTCTGTTTGAATTGCTGGGAATCAAACTCAGGCCTCATGTAAGCTAGTCAAGTGTTTTTACCCCCTCTTATTGTTTTCTCATAGTACTTAGAAGTCTGTTACCTAGATTTCATCTCTTCTCATCCACTCTGAAATTCTTTGTAACCTGACTTTGTCTCTACTCGTGGCTGAGGTTGGCAATGACTTCATAAGGTATTAATTTTAAAACACAAGTCCTCTTTTTATTTGACCTTTTCCTTTTCAATTGGACTACCCTTTCTTCTCTAATTCCATTGACTGCTCCCCTTATCTCAGATTTTCTCCTCCTGTGAGTTCAAACATTCATCTCTCTCAGCTTTTCTTCTCCCTCTCCGCCCTGTCCTTGGCTTTCTCAGGCCCATTAGAGTCATTTGATTCTATATGCTGGCTTTCGGGACCTCATCCCTTGACTCTCCTGATTACTCTATTCACTTTCTGGATGGGCTCAGCCATTGCATAGCAGCAGTCTCTGTCATCCGAGGATCCTAGAAAGCCATTTCGGTGGGACAAATGTTCATGTGCTACTGCTTTCATAGGAAGTACAATCTCAAAGAAGCATCCAAGGCCGAAATGGGAAATGAGAAAGGGAAAGAGTAAGAACAAAGTGAATGGTATAGCTTTGTTCCAGAACAGAGTTCTATGTGCCTCCAAACTGAACATCTATGATATTAAATTCACCATCTTTTTCTCTACCATGCCACTCCCAATATCTGCTCCTCTGCTAGGGTTTCATTTTTCTTTGAGTGGCAATTTCATCAACCTAAGGACCATACATCAGAAAATAAATGCTCATATCCTTGAGTCCTTCTGCCTCCTGATCCCGACATCCTGGGGTCACCTGATTTCAGTCCCTCCTCTATGCTCATCATTCTTGCCTTCATTTAGTTTTGATTTTCTCAGAATTCATTCCCATTCTTCCAGTCATTATTTCTAATTTCTAGTCTGTGCTTTACTCAAAATTCAGAATTATCTTTCTTAAATGAATTTCTGACCATGTAATTTGTTTACATACAATATTTCAATGACCTCCAGGATAAGAATGAAAGTTCCTAGCCTAGCATTCAATTGGCTTCATGATCTGCACTTGCCCTCCACTTCTGTTTCATTCCTCCTATTAAACCTTGACCTTGCCAGGTGTAATGGCACTCTCCTGTGATCCCAGTGACTTGGGAAGCTGAAACAGGAGGATCACAATTTCAAGACCAGCCTCAGCAACCTAGCAACCCTCAGCAACTTAATGAGACCCTGTCTCAAAATAAAATATAAAAAGGGATGCTATGTTGCTCAGAGTTGTTAAGCACACCTGGATTTAATCCCTCATACAAAGAAAAAAAAATTGACCTTCAACCACATTAAACTACCTGTACTTTCTCCAATGTGTTATGTTCTATTATGGCATTTTTTCTTTCCATATGCTCTTTTAACTGCTTGAAATGTCCCCTTTCCTTCTCCTGGATTATTTCTTCTTCATCCTGTAAGACATAAAACCAAGACACATAGCCTCACCTAGTCCCCTTCCTGCAATCTGGACTCAGCACCCTTAACATATGCTTGCTTTACATCTGTAGCTGCACTTGCAGTACACTATTATGTTTTATTTCTTTGAAACTATTTTTTTCTGCTAGATTGTGAATAATTTTGACATTAGAAATATTGTATATTATGTACCTTTGATAGTTTAATATCTAATATAATGACTTTCCTGAATATGTGCTAAATGAATAAATGATGTTGGGGGGTTGGGGCTGTAGCTCAGTGGTAGAGTTCTCGCCTAGTATGTATGAGGCAATGGGTTCAATTCTTAACACCACATTAAAAAAATGTGTACGGTTTAAAAAAATAATAATCTGGGGGATTACAGTATACAATACTATTTAATGTAATGAATTTCAGTGTCAGAGAGGTGAAGTTACTTACCACATTGTTGTTTTTTATTATTATTAGAAGTGTAAGCATGGTACTTTTATAAGTAAATGACTTTGGACTAGAGCCATAACATGTGGCCAAGGATGTGCAAAGAGGAACACCTATTGCCTAAATATGATTTATTTCAGAAGCATTTGTTCATTTTACAGAAGCTTACAGGCAAGAAACCCACTGTAAAAACTGGAACATGAAAACCTCTATTCACATTTCAGAAGATATTTCTTCTCTGTTGTCTAGAATGCAGGGGATAAGAAAAGTGGTATCCCTGTGGTCAATGAAATGGTGGCTCTGAATAAACCCACAGAATGATGAACCATAATGAACCAAAATAATTAAGGAGGTTCAGAACCAAATTATCCAGGGGATGAATGTACTGAGTGTATTATTTCACTATTCACAATATCTTTATTCTCTAATACATAATTTTGAGCCCAATGCAAAAATGCTTATGTGAAACTGTTGGGCACTAACATGGAAGGAGAGAAGGACTAGGAAAGTGAGGTATATGATCCCTCATTAGATTAGCAGATATTAATATTTTTAATAAAATGCATAAATGAGAGGCTGCCTAGTTTTCATTGGGAAAAATATTAAGAAAACACGACTTTAAGAAATAGGTATGATGTTTAATTTAACAAATCAGTTTGATTGGACTAAAGTCTGCCCAGATATCTGATAAGCCATTTTTTCCTAGGTGTGTCCATGAAGGTGTCTTGGAAGAAAATAGCTGCTTCATTAATAGACTGGATTAAGAAGTTCTGCCCTAACCAATGTGGATGAGCATCATTCAAACTTCTGAGGGTCTGAATCAAATAACAAAAAGGGAGGGAGAGAGAATTTTTGCTCTCATTTTCTCCTGCCCTCAGACACCAGAGTTTCTGGTTGTCAGACTTTCAGACTATGATTGAATTATGCCCCCTACTTTCCTGATTGTGCAGCTTGCAGATGGAAGATAGTGGGACTTCTCAGCCTTCATAATTTCATGAGACAATTTCTGTAATAAGTCTCATATGGGTATATCTCTTATTGGTTCTATTTCTCCAGAGAATACTGACA